TGGCTTCTTGAATTTAACATTTCCACATCAAAGTGGTTCTTTGTTGGTGCTCTGGCTTAATTTTTAATCTGTTGATTCCATCAGGATTTTTTTAGATTGGACATTATTGTGATGTGATTTGGACACTCAGGTATGTTTTATTTTAAAGCAGAGGTGCAGTCAAGCAGTCTATGCATACACACACTCAGCGGTCTCTTTATATATATATTTTTTCTTTTTTTTAATCCTAAGAGGAGCGGGATCGTTTCTTCTTTTTCTTCCGAGTCCCCAACCTTTCTGTGCAGAAAGTCCAACTAAGCCAAAGTTAAGGACATCTCATTATCTGTTTTGTCGTTGGCTAGACTTTAGTAATTTTCCTCAGAAGAGATGATTTTTTTCCCCCCCTCCTTACCAAACCCACCTTTTTATGCTTCTAATTGGTTACATAAATCTTGTCTGGTATGAATGAGGAATGTTGCGGTGTTGTCAACTGCAATCTTCACCCTTATTTACCAATTCATTAAGATCTATCGATGCAGGACTGCTGAGAGGGAATGACAACATAAATCAGAGCTCGAGACATAATGGCCCTAATCAACCAGAAATAACTGGAAACGTCACAATGAGCTATGTCTCTGTAGCTGTGTCAGACGCGGCTGGCTCCCCTGCGCCCGTCCGCTGGATCTGTGGAGAGGAGCGGAGAGTCAGACCCATCCAACTGTCATTAGCTCCTCTGATTTTTCTCAGCAAGAACACCAGAGCAACGTGAAGAATTTTGTCCATTTACTTCTTTTTTTTCTTATCCAGTCCTTGCAATGTGTCAAAGCAGCTCAGTTTTGATCACTTACAGTATTTTCTGAGTGAAACACTTCCAGATACGATGTCTATAAATACAGTTAGGTCTGGAGTGCCTTGTATTCGCCGCGCACCTCCTCTCCTCGTGATAAAGATTATTGCACGAGACAATGAGGCCTCCCCTCTTTATAGGTCAATTAGCCCTGATTAGGTGGGCTGAGTTAATTAATGAAATTGGCAAATATGCAAATGAGAGCCGACTGATCGGGCTTTCGTCACTGTCTCGCTCGCCCACAGCGGCAGGGCTGTCTACAGCTTCAACAGAACGAGGTGCCTGATAGGTAACATGTAAATGATATGGGTCGAGCCTAAATGCAGGAGAGGACTAGTCTCTCTCCTCCTCTTTTTCCATCAGGGGACAAGCCGTGCTGCACTAATATTTCAAAGACGTGTGCATTTATTACTATACCACATAAATCTATTAATAGTAAAATATTTTGTTTATAATTTTTTTTCTTGATTTTTAATGAGCTACTAGTGGATTTTATTTTATTAATACCAATGCTTGCCTTTCATATCCATTTATATTAGTAACTGGATAGCTGGTGTACAATGAATATTTTGCTATTATTATATTTCAGAGCTGGTTGCATTCACATAACACTAATTTGTATTAACGCAGTATCATTCCCACTATTCCTGAGTGCCTCTTGCATTTGAATCTAAAGAGACATTGTGCAGATTGTACAATTGAACATGCACTTTACACTCTTTCCTATGGTCCTCTTTGTCATTTTATTCACCCCCTTTCTTTCTTTCTTTCTTTCTTTCTTTCTTTCTTTCCACTTTCTGTTCTCCACTCTGACACACTCTCACACATCCATTCAGGGACACTTACATACTGTGGCAAATAGTCTGTCTTTTATCTTATTCTTTCTCATCTCTTTATTGTAAATAGAAGAGAATTAAGTTCTGAACATTCTTGACTGAATGTCTCCTATCACAGAACTACAATTTATTGTCAGCTCAAATGAAGAATTGAAATATGACTGAGGTTTTTCTCAGTGTAGGGGCTCATTGGACAGGAGATAACCACATTTGATTCCGTTGCTTTGAATAATGTTAATCCGGAAAAAAGCAAAGTCCATTATTCATATTCATCTCTTTTCATTTGGCCCCACTCCTGATTTTGTAAATATGATTTCTTCAGCTACCACCCCCACACCCCTTTTTTTTTCCAAAGCAATCTTTATTCACCAGTGAAGCACTTTTGAAATTCCTCTATCTGAGAGCAGAAACCATTACCATACACAGGTTTATAAGAAGTAGTCATTAATGCTCTTTTATGGTGGCCTTTTAGTGCCAAAAGGGAAGCTTTTAATTCTAAGGCACGGCAGCCTGGCTCTCCTTACTTAATCCGGAGGACTGGGTTGTGTCGAACGTAGCTTTCCAAGTGGTCGTTTTTCCATCTCAAACTCCAAACTCGCTACAAGAAGCTGTAGGTTGTAATGAATTGCTTGTGATGTCCCCCCTCGTGCTGTGACAGCTCACTGG